GAGAGAGAGAGATTCCGTAGACCATAACTCAAATACAGAACAATAATTTCCCATATCAATCTCAATTAAAAGTTCACATGAAGGGTAGCTCAATTAGTCTCTGTGCTACTAGAAAACTGTCAGATTGACTAAGAAGTAACATGAGCAAACACAAGCAAGGGAAAAATAAATACTGTACTTTTTGGGAAAATGAAAAACAAATAGACTTCCATTATCATGAACTATCATGAAAGAGACAAATGGAACAGAACAAACCTGCAATTCAAAACCCATTGTCACAAGCCAAATGTTAAGGACAAAATGAGATGAAAGTATCCAAAAAAGTAATGGAAAAAAAAAAACCAAGAAACCTTAGTGACCAGTTTACAGGGGCCAAATAGCAGAACAACGACAAAGACCAAAAAAAGAATAAGGGAATTCCAAAAATACTGATTTGAAATATTTATTTGAAAGACTTCCTGAATTCTCCATTCAATACACAGGAACAAGTGCTGCAAATTCAAATAATAAAAAATGGTACAAACCAATTTGTTAAAACACGGAAATGACATAAAAATGAACGAAAACAAATTACAAGAATAACCCACTTACAGAAACCAAACAAACCATACGAAAATGAACGAAAAACAATCCCAATTTTGGAGTTTCAAAACATTCTAAATTTGGAAAAGAAATGAAACCCAATTAAAGAACTCAGAGTAGAATTACCCAGAAACAACAAATACACAAAATCATGGAAAATAAGAGAAAGAAGACACCTACCCAAAAGTGAAAGGATCATAGGATCCATTAACAGGGAAATCTACAACGTTTTGTAGCAACCGGCCATGGCGTGCCCTGTCTCTTGCCCTCAATCCCTCCAATTCTAAAGAGTCAACATTTGGGGCAACCTTCTCAAGCTGAAAAGTCGCTGGAAAATCACAAAGAACAGGAAGAATCACAGAAAAACAAAGTACAAGGTACAAGGAGAAAGAAAACAGAGCTCCCCCATTTACCCGAATCATTTTCAGGGCCAGAAATGTACTAAAGATAAGAGTGAGAAAATCAAGGCATGGAGACTGTAATCGTTCTCAGAACAGGGGGATAAAAAGAAATGGAGGAGAGCGAAAGGGAGGAGAGAGAGAGAGAGAGGAGGGCAAGCGTGACGTTGTGAGTTTGAGGAAGTTACATGCGACGACATGGCCCAAGAGTTTAGAGAGAGGGAGAGAGATAAAAAAATAGAAAACGCAACGTCTCAAACTGAAGGTGAAAATTGCGAAAAAATAATGCTTAGAAATAAATAAAGTTCGAAATTTTTTGAGTACCGTATGTTTCACGCTTTAACGGAAATTAACCCCAAATTTACGAACTGTTTGTTTTCTTTATTTCTCTTTTCCGTTACTTTTTCCCGCGTAAAACACATGTGGAAAATTCCAAAGGTACCCCTGCCGGTCCTTTCCAGGCCATTGACCCGGTATCAAAAAGGACCCCGTTGCCGCCGCAACCGTCCGAGTTGTGTATGAATTTTGTATGGTGTATTATTATAAAATTTTTATTTAAATTAAAAATATTTATAGAAGGAGTCAATTTTAGGTTGAAGGATAACAATGCATCTCGAAAATCTATTAGAAAATGTCATCTTGACCATGAAAAATCTTCCAATAGACCATCTCAAACTCAAAATGTATAGATACGAAAAAAAAAAGAAGAGGGTTTTTGAGTTTTGAAAATATTGTATCTTACAGCACATTATTTAGATTACCCATTTTCATATTTTTGAGTATTTATAGATTTTTTTTATTTTTACTACTTTAGAACTTTAAATTTTATAATTAGAAGTAAAAATAGAGAATGCGCATCTTTTCAAATGTGATCTTGTAGTTTGAGAATGTGCATTACATTGATCGTTTAATGTGATCTCCTTATGTAAACTTTGCCTTTTTAATTATGGGTCGCAGAGATTAATCGAACCTATATTTTGAAAGTATTAGTGAGGCATCAATAAAAATGAAAATCACAACATGGTAATTAGGACGAGGACATGGGGATGCTACCACCACGACTTGAACCCTTTTCCCATTTATCGTAGTTATATTATCAATTACATCATTGGCATCTATGGTACCCAAGGATTAATATTGAAATCGCACGGCGGATGCATACAAGGTACATCATAAGAAAAATTGTAAGATAGGAGTTGTGTTTGGTATAACTTCAAAGAAATTTTCAAAAACCTGATTTTGATTTTGAAATTTAAGAGTAGTCCATTATATTTTATACTTTAAAGTTCAAACATAAACCCTGCTATTTTTTAAAGTATATAGTGTGTTTTAATTTTCCTAATATTTCAAATTACTTTAAATTCGGGCCGGCCATACTTCTCGCATCATATGCTTGTAAAAAATATAATAAAATAAATTTAATAGCAAATAACCAAAATATCCGTAGATGATTAGGGATATTTTAGTAATTTTATTTATTTCTGTATTTTCTTTTTTTAGTAAATATCTTTTTGTATTTTCTACATCTGTCTGATGCTGAGAAATATGCTTGAGCACTGATATATAAAAAGAAGAAAAAACGGCAACAAACTATACATTCTTAAAAAAAAAAAAGTGGCACTTGAGCATAAGCTACGAAATAGAGGTCCTATTTCCAAAAATACAATATGACTTTTCTGGAATGTAATTTTATTATGATGAAATAAAAGGTGGGGCCTAGATGATAATTTCGGAAATATGACGAATTGTTTGCGTGTCGTACACAAATGTTTGTGTCCATGATTTGTATAGGACTAATTTAGTGCCATGCTTTGATGACTCGTATAATATTAATTACTACTAAACCATGGATTATTAATAGCCTATTTTGGACGCATCCGTGTGGTACTTGGCATGCCAAAAACAAAGAGTTTGCTGTTTTTCTAGAACATATGATTGGTTAAAGCATTAATTAAAAAAAAATATACAAAATTTTCTTTCCTTTCTTTTTTTTTTTTTATCTGGAATTTTTTTTGGGTAAATACAACCGCTCAATAAAAAAAGAAAACTGAAATTTTTGACAATTGAAATCGAGGTTCATATTTTTCAAAGGAATCTCATAAACTTCTCTCTATGAATGTGTTAATATTTATTCTTGTTTATTTCAACAACCCTCAATGAAACAGAGACTGTGCAAGTCAATAGAGAGATAGAATTGCTTATTTTCATAAAGGAAATTCTTCCTTTATTAATTCGCACAAATAAAAGAGCTCTTCGGATCACAAAACAAATGATAATACTAATAACACCGTTGTTACTCCGTATATTGCCAAATCTAGAAAGTCTAATTTTGCAAGTTAATGCGACAATTGGTCAAAGTAGCAGAGGCAGCGTCCATTTACTTACCAAGGGAGGCGGCAGCGTGGTCGGTTCTCAGTGTCTACCAAGCTTGGTAGGTTCTCAATGTTTACCTAGTCTAATTGTTGAAGACGTGATGAGCACCAAAATTTCAATATATATATATATATATATATATTTATTGAGAGAGAATAGGTATATAACTACATCAAAATCCCATTGACCCAACTTGTTTGAAGAGGTCATATTGTAAAACAATACCCTAATATTTATATAGGTATACACATTCTATCATACATACCTATATACATAAAGAATCTATAAAGCTTGAACTTTGATTCATCATCATCAGAGGTTTATTATAATTATTTAGAGTCGGCTACATGAATCATGTTCTATTATTTCATTCTATTAGATGTTACACCCTCAATCAAACCATAAGTCATCATATCTCTTCTCACTACTTTTTTTTATTCATGTCTTTTTTAGACTTTTTCATTGCCCTTTTAAAACTTTTTATTTGGACTGAATCACCCTTCCTAACTGGTGATGAGATAATATATATGCATAAATGTGTGCATGAGATAGACCTGCTGCCCTAGCAAGTGACATAGCATAATATTTTGAATTGGTCCAAAGTTAACATTAAAAAAAAACATGCGTGCATACAAGTACATCCAAAGAGCACATAAAAACGAGAACATAGAGACGTAGAACATACTAAATAAATGCAAATATATAATCTATACAAGTAAAACGTAATAAATATATACACCAAGGTAAAACACGCACATAATCGAGATTATTATCTATTAGACCAATGTGGAAGGTTTAGTCCAGATATTTTTGAAAGCGTGATGCACTGGGAAACCGCAAAACGTTACGCATCCTGTATAAGATGAGAGATGGACAGAATCAACAGTTTTCAAACAGGGGTAGGATAAGACAAATGAGAAGATGTGGTGGTTGCAGTGTCATGGAAAATTCAAATCCTCTTTGTAGCAACCGTTGGGAGTAGGTCTATTGCCAAACAGCTCCCAGTGGAAACACGGAAATATTTTGAGAGAGAAGCATATATTGCTAGCAGTGTAGTGAGAGAAAGAGAGGGAGGGAGGACCATATATTGATACAAGTCTCTTAATGGGATGGCGCTTGTGCAGGTATAAGGGTCAAGGGAGATCAGATGCAAGTAAAATACATATATATATATATATATATATTGGATTTTCAATGGGGAAGCCAAAGCCCTTACTTTTTTTTATTTTTTTCAATAGATTAAAGAGTTAAATTTTGAAGGTGTTAATTGGGGGGTAGGAATAGAGGTGTAAGGACGCTATCAGTACGACCCAGCCCGTTTCCTAAGTTTTCAAGTGAAACATCCCTCTCTACAAATGTCGCTTGCACCAGACCGTCAACTCCTAAATGCCACACCCACTACAATAGCACCCACAAGTATTGGCCGTATTTTTCTCAAATTTGCAAAAGGCTTAGATTGATTTTAACACTCCACACCTATTGATAGAATAGACCTTTAAATTACACACTTGCGGTTATGTCAGAGAGAGAGAGTTGGCTAAAGAAAAACCCCAACTTTCTCAAAAGCCCCAAAAGGATAATATCACAAGATTTTGGGGTTATCTTGAAAAGCAATTCGGATAGCATTACGCAGGGAAAACGCAGAAACACGAGGAATATTACGGGAAGAGGGCCTTACTTTTGGGGGGACTTTTGCCTTTTGCCAGATGTCTGGGCCCCACATTGCTTAGCGACTTCGCCTTGCTGCATGTATACAAGTGGATATTACTTCGCCATTTTTCACAAATACTGTGCTACCCGTGGGAGCAAAATGTTACATATACTACCTCGCCAGAAATTCTACTCTGGAGGACTCTCTTGATCTAAAATTTTGGATGAGAATTTCAAACAAAAAATAGTTACTTCTGAAATTTGTACGTTTACGTTTTCCATATAAAAAAAAAAAAAGAAAAGATAATGCGTCTTCATTCCTAAAGCATGTTTTATTTTAGGCACTTCTAGATTGCATTTGCATTTGCATTTGCATTTCTTTTTCCAATATAGATCACTAAATCTCCAAATTTCAGGGTCCTAAAAATACTCCAAGCTAGGGCTTTACCTGACGGGGCAAGTGCACATTTTGCTCATGTGGGAGTCTAAAATCCTTTCAATTAAAAAGAATTAGGTGTCACTATTGTACTTTTAAGAGAGAGAGTAGTTAAACAACAAAGCTTATTAGCTTCCATCTTAACTGCAAACTGGTACTCTTTTAAGAGAATCGAGAGGAAACATTAAACTTGCTCAATCTATATAACAATAACGAGAAAAATAACAAATAAGGCTTATAATCAAAAGGCCCATGTAGTGACCCCATTCGATGGTCAGTTAGTTCAACAAGTTCGACTCAGAGATCACAAATTCACAATCAATAGTCAAATTAGAATTTGACAATGAAATCATAAATCGCTTTCATTTTTTTGTAAATTTCAAACCTGGTAAAAAAAAACTCACAATTGAATCCAACCTGTTTTTCTTTTCTCCATAGTGTAGAGCACATGTTGGACTTTCACAAACACAATGCTTCTTGTTAACCTTCTCCGTATTTCAACAATAATAAATATATCAAATGCATGAAAACAAAAGTTGTATAGAAAGCAATGGTCTATGCAAAAGATTTACAAATTGAGAAAGAAAAGATTTAATCATACAATAGCTAACAAGTTACCCTGCATTCACAAATATGCAAGCACACCATTCATTGTGTTTCTGTATGCAAAATCTAACACAACCTTCTCCATATTAGGTATAATAAGCCGCTCTACTATGGCCTCACTCCTCCCATGATTCTCTCTCAGGAAAGAAACAAATATCATCAACTAGAAAGCCCAGGCTTCAGAAATTGAGAACCACTTTAACAAACCAACCCATTTATATAACAGCAAAACCTCTGGCCACTTGTTTGATAGGACTTCTCATGCACAAACTCTAACCAAAATTCCTATCAAGCTGACCATGTACTTTGATTCGCCAGAGGCCTAAGACTCCTCCTATACTCGGAACAATTCACAAGGGAACAATAAATTAACAATGTCCTATGATGCAAGCCAGTGATAAACACCAAGAGAACAAAAAGGCCAAATCTAGAGGCACATGAATAAATATAAAATAATAATAACAATTTTACCAACCCTGTCTCCAAAAGGTGAGTGAAGACACTAAACCAAGAATGGTCAAGCTTGTTGTTGATGATTCACAACAATAGGTGGCCGGAAAGCTTGTTGTTCTGCTGCCTTTTGCTTTCTTGCATTATACATCTCTTCAGTCTCAACAACAACCAACCTCTTGACCTGAAACAAAAAGAAATTATATAAATAAAGCGGCATGAAATCGAGTTTGGAAAGAGAAACTATACCACAATCCAATGGAGCATGGAATCCAGTACTCCAAAGTTGTGTCAAGATTCATTTCTTGTGATGGCCACTGGAGAATAACTGTGCAGATGGAACCCCACTGATCAATCTCCGCTGTCCATCATCAGTAACAGATGCTAGATGCCTCTCGGATGTACATGCACAATACTCCACAGGATAAAAATCAAGTGATAGAAGAAGTGGAGTAACGCACCTGCTGAAGCATACCTCTCACAGTTGGGGTGTTCCACTTCATGACAGTACGATTACATTTGGTTAGGCGCAGGGCTTCCAATGTTCTCCTATGGAGCCTCCTGGTTCCAGGTATGCCCCTTACAAGTGTTATGTATAAGTGGGGGCTCCATGTTATGGGGACATTAGCTTTGAAAGCTTTGAAGGCATTCAAACTCATCTTTACCGATCCTCTGTTCCACAAATGTATCTGCAAGCAAATAGGAATTTGTGGAGTATGGTCAGATAAGTTTTGCCTTGACAGCAGAATTTGTCACCACTCTCAAAAAACCCAAGGGGAAGAGGAATTTCCCAACATATATATTCTATGCAACTTCTTATTCGAGATTCTTCAAAACATCCTAACACATTTAAAGAAGTGAAGTAGTGGCAAAGTTTAGTGGCACAGGGACAAGAACAAAAAACCCTTGCTCTACACGCATTTCTTTGACAACTTCCCATTCTTACACTTGATGAAGAATTACAAATGCAATTAAGATTCTTTCCTTCATAACACCTCCATACTAGCTGTTTACCCCAAGTCCAAAATTCCTTGATATACCAACCTTCCACTTCTAAACTATAGATATGAACAGTCTCTTAAATATTTCCCGAATAAGAGACTCGCTGCAAGAAATAAGAATAAATGCTCCAAACTCTCCAATCTGCCAGGGCCCAAGGAATTACGAGTGATTTCCTAGAAACCCCTAAAATTGTCCTTAAGCTAGTTTGGAAGCAACAATAAACAAAAAGCCACATTTCTTGCTAAAATGTTAAGAAGTACAGATAGACAGGTAGTTGAATCACTATCTAGTGTATCATATGTACATATAAGGCTTTACAGGACAGAATGTTAAGCGGTCAAGAAACAACATATCTACAGAATGAGTGTAGCTGAGATGGATAATGTTGAGATGGATGAGTGGCTAGACAAGAAATGATAGAATTCAGAATGAATACATCTGAAGGAACTTGGGGGTGACAAGCAAGAAAACAAATGCGAGTTAGCACAACGGCTTTCGCTCTATCCGTTGTTTATTGCAAGAAAACGGTTGTGTTGGCTCCAATAGGTGACAAGATGACATAAAGCAATTAGGTGGTCTGGCCATACACAACGTCAGCAAAGAATAGCACCAGTTAGGAGGAGTGATTTGGTTCAAATAGAAGGCTCCAATAGGGCAAGGGGAAGGCCCAAAAAGACATAGATAGAAGTAATGAGAAGAGATATGGTAACTTAGAAGCTATGGCCATTGATAGAACGGGATGGCAAAACAGGATTCGTGCTGCGAACTCCAAATAGTTGGGATAAGGTTCGAATGATGATGATGATGATATGTACATATAATGCATTCAAGAGGCAGTTCAGTTCTTATTTTGCTATAGAGCGTCAAGGCGGAAAATTGGCTGGTAAGCCATTCACAAGGGTCCGTCATCAACATTTTAGTAACATAACACACATCATATTTGCAGCTAGTTAAATATTGTTTGCTTGGTATCAGAGATCCATAGTTGCAGTGGCAGATTGTGGCAATTTGCAGGAAACAAATTCTGATGGAGATAACCTACTTCAGGTTGAATTGACTTTAGGTTACCACTTCACATTGTGTCCTTAAAAAGAAGTCAACAGAAAAGGTGAAAAGGACCACATTTATTCCCAAAAATAATAAGTAATGCAACTGGGAGGTCCTTGCAACAATAAGAATAGCTCAAAATTACCTAAACAAGTTCAAATACCCCTATAATCTACTGACGGCAACAGGATTGGTTGATTTTGAGTGCTTTTGAGGAGGAATTTGGTACCATCACCGAAAGATGCAAAGTCTATTTTACACATTTGAAAACTTGTAATGTGACGCTTGTTCAAATTTGCTCATATTATATTTTTGATAATTACCTTGCTCATAACATATTACTGCATTGCCATGAAACTTTTAAGAGCAATCAAATATGAAAATTCATGTATGAAAAATGACCCCACCTACAGTTATGGGTCTTCGACCAATATCAATTGGAACTGTTAGAGAGAACTGACTCCATGAAGAAAATACATCCACGCCCCTAGACTAACAGTGCACATTGATACAATATGTAATGGTCCAACTGATGTTGGGAGTCTAAATCATCACCTCCACAGCACTTTTACCTTATATTCTGCTGAAAAAAAAAAATCATAAAATCCAACCTTTCACGTGATCAAATCATCAAAGAACTAATTGGAAATGATCTATC